AATCCCTCACCACACTATTGATACTCAAATCACAACTGAAACTGGTGTTATAGTTAGGTCATCTCCTAACCCTGAGTATTCAAGGTGGTTGTCCATTGACCAGCTCCTAATGGGGTGGTTGTATTCCTCAATGACTTCAGAAATAGTCATGCGAGTAATGGGATGTAATAGCTCCAGTGAGCTTTGGAAAGCCATAAATGAAAATTATGGGATTCTCAACAGGTCCAGAGTGACCTTTCTTACCTCTGAATTGCAAAGAATGAGGAAAGGATCTATGTCTATGGATCACTACCTCAGCACGGTCAAACAACTTGCTGATAATCTGGAAATTGCTGGGAAGAAAATTGAACATACTGATTTAGTAACTCAAGTTCTAGCTGGGCTAGATGAGGAATACACTCCAATTGTAGTGCAAGTCAACAGCAAGGATCATGTTTCTTGGCATGAATTATCCTCTATACTTATGACGTTTGAAAGCAGATTAGAATACCTTAATCAAATCAGAACCGGCTTTGGTTCTATTAATCTCACTCAAGGGAATAGAAGCCCTGGAAATCCTTATAATGGGAGAGGAAACAGGGGTCTTAGGAATCAAAATTTTAGAGGAAGAGCAAGGGGGAGAGGCAGGTTTGGAAGATCAAACGAAACCAGAAATCCATGTCAGATCTGTGGCCTCAGCAATCACACTGCTGCCTGGTGCTACAATCGTTTTGATGAAAAATATATGGGCAAAAGACCTGGTGATCAAATCTCCAGTTCTCATCCATCTGTTTACACCGCTAACTCAAGCTTTACTGATGATCAAGCATGGTATGCAGACTCTGGAGCCAGCCACCATGTCACTGCTGATAAAGAAAATGTTGCTGATGCAAAAGACTATGGAGGTAAGGAAAAGATAGTTGTTGGTAATGGTACTACACTGAAAATTTCTCATGTTGGCTCACAGATATTTGATATTGAAACTGGCAAGACACTTACCTTAAAGAAACTTCTACATGTACCTCAAATAAAGAAAAATCTTATAAGTGTCTCCAAGCTTACCTCTGATAATGGTGTCTCAGTTGAGTTTTATCCTAACAATTGTGTTGTGAAGGACCTATCAACAAGGAAGCCTCTGGTGCAGGGGAAGCTTAAAGGAGGATTATATCAGCTCAACTTACCAGTTCATAACACAAGAATCCCAGAAACAAAGTCTGTCAACCATGGCCCTAACAAAACTCAGTTCATCTTCAACACAAGCCTACCTGAACCTGCTAAATCTACCAGAGATAACATCCTAGAGTCACAGATTGAAATCTGGCACAGAAGACTAGGACATCCCACTAATCCTGTGTTATTTCAATTTCTGAAAGCTTGTAATAAATTCAAAACTATCAGTAATAAAAAAATTCCATTCTGTGAAGCATGTCAACTTGGCANTACCAGAGATAACATCCTAGAGTCACAGATTGATATCTGGCACAGAAGACTAGGACATCCATCCACCTCTGTGTTACTGCGTTTTCTGAAATCTTGTAATAAATTTGAGTCTATTCGTAATAAAAAAATTCCATTCTGTGAAGCCTGCCAGTTAGGAAAATCGCATGCCTTACCATTCAATCTGTCATCAACTCATGCTAAAATGCCTCTTGATTTGATTCATACAGACGTATGGGGACCAGCCCCTATTAATTCTACCTCAGGCTTTAAATACTATGTCCTATTTGTAGATGATTGCACTAGGTATACATGGATTTATCCCCTAAAGCAAAAATCTGAAGTTCTTCACTACTT